AAGAGGCCATCTCCATCACCTCCCCACCCACTAACCATCCCTGGGGCAAAGGAGGAGAGGGTGGGGAGGAAAGGGAAGGCTTTCCTTCTCTGCTCCTCCCAAGCCCAGGCCTTAACTCCCATCACTCCACAGTGACTATGGCAATCTCTTTCTCAGAATCTCCCTTCCCATCTTTCTGTATTCCAGACCAGAGTCATCTTCCTCTGGCCATCTCTGACCAGATCCCTTTCCTGAACAGGAGGAGCCTGCTATGGCTCCCTGCAGGCCTTGGAAAAGGGTTCAGACTCTTCAGCATCTGAGGCTCTCCACAGTCTGGCCCTATCCTCTCTAGTATCTTCTCTTCCTACACCTCTTGCAGACAATCAGACTAGCCTCTTCATACCAGGCCCATTCCCATCTTGATGCTTTTGTTCAAGCTGTCTCTCTACTATGAATGCCCCCTTCCATCCCTTCTTGAGTCCTTTCATTCTTTAAGACCTAGTTCAGATCTCACTTCCTCCAGGATGCCATCCTTGACCACTCCAGGCCATAGTTCCTTATCTGAATCCTTCTACACCTCAGCCAAAAACCATTGTGTCTCCTGAGTACAGATCCCTGTGTTTAGCAGAGGTGACAGGGACTCCAAGATGAAGTAAGCCATAGCCCCTGTCCTCAAATGCACTGGATCCAGAGTCACAAATATCTGGGATACCCAGGCTACCCAAGTGGTAGCCTGGACTAATATGATGTAATGACTTAATACCCATATCAGCTTGAGTAAGTCCCTTCTTTTTCTTGACCTGAGTTTCTTCCTCTGTAAAATGAAAAAGGTTATCTCTAAGGCAGAGTTTCTTAGCCTGGGGTCCGTGAATCTGCTTTAAAAATACTTTGATAACTGTAATTCAATACAATTGGTTTCCTTTGTAAATCTTAAGTATTTTGTTTTATGCATTTGAAGACATTATTCTGGGAATGAGTCTTTGGGCTTTACCAGATTGCCCAAGGGGTCTGGGACAGAAAAAAGGTTAAGAACTGCTTTGAGGTTTCCTGTGGCCCAGCTCTCAGAGAAGCAGTAGAAATCATGGTAGATCTGGAGTCAGGAGACACCCAGGTTCAAATCTTGACTCTGACACTCTGTGACCATGGGTGGGCCATTTCATTTTTCTGAGCCTCAGTTTCCTTTATCTTTAAAACAGAGAATAAAAATCTGTTTTATAAAAATCTGTAAAATATATATGTTGTGCCCATATCCTCAATGTTGGATGTTTTCAAGTTATGGACTGCTACAGTTTTTGAAGATTTGAAATTGAAGATCACCCAGAAGGCAATAGAGGGGTACATGGTGGCTATGAGGGGGTTATAACCAGGGGTGTGCTGGTAAATACACAACAACCAGTTCTCCAAAACTGCAGGCTGTATTTTAAAGTTTAATACACATTATTTTCATTCTCTCCATCACTTTCTTAAGTCTATACAACCAACAAAACAATAAATCAAGCCCAGATTTGTAATGTCTGCCGATTTCCAAGGTATAAAATGCTTACACACTGAACGTTTAACAGTTGGCTCTCAGAAGCAAGTACAAGCTGGCTCTTGCATATCCCTGGCTGTAACACATTACACTGGAAGAATTAGGAAGGGGAACCATAGTAAAGGATGACCTCAAAGAAATGTATGAATCAGAAGATGGCCTGGTCATAGGGGGAGGACTCAGGCTGACCAGCAGACAATACACATGCACTGATGATATCCTTGCATTGTCAAGAGGAAGGCTACCAGCATGTTGGGTGGACTTCCTGTAGAGAACTTACAGGAAGACATGGATAAGAGTCATTTAGAATGGACAGGCAGGGATAGATTTTTATCAACATCATTAGAAGGAATAGCCACATCCAGGAGATAGCAGAGTTATGACAGTATTTGGGTACCCTTCCTCCACTAAAGGTTCTTGTGAGGGTCAACTGTGTGTCAAGTGCTGGGGAAAAAAGACTAGTATTGTTAGGGTGCTGTGAGTGGAGAGGGAATCAGTCAGTCATTTAGTCAGGTAATCAATAAGCATTTGCTAAGTGCCTACTTTGTACTGTGCTAGCAATACTAAGAAAGGCAAAAGCCAGTCCCTGCTCCCAAAGAACTCACAATCTAAAAGGAGAGAACAAGCAAACAACCATTTTCAAACAAGATCTATGCATGGTAAATTGGAGATGATCAATAGAGGGGAGGCACCAGCATTACAGGCTTCTTGTAGAAGGTGAGACTGTAGCTGGGACTTCAAGAGACCCAGGGAAGCACACAGATGAGGATGATACGAGGTGGGGTGTGATAAGGGCAAACCCAGCCCATTGTACTTTTTAAATGGGCTACCTCATATGGCTGGTGGTTCCCCATCATTGGAGGTCTTCTGGCAGATGCCGGATGCCTGGTCCAGGAGGTTGTATCAGGGATCTCTGCTCAGGAACTACTTGGACTATATGGCATCTGGAGTCCCATCCAACCCCTGAGATTCTGTAATTCTATGAGAGTCTGAGGCAAAGCAATGTGAGGAGTTGGAGCTTACTCTCATCTGGATGGGCCTAGGAAGGCTTCATGTTAGAGGCGGTGCTAGACTTGGGCATTGAAGAAAGAGAAGGATGTCAGAGGAGAAGAGGAGGGGGTGCCTTCCTGATGTGGGGAATGCCTATGCATTCTGTGCATGGAAAGGAGAGAACAAGATGAGATCTGGAAACTCCTTCAGCTGGACAGTGGAATGTCAAAAAGGGAGGACTGGCAAAGTGAGATTGCAAAACAGGCTGGGAGCAGGAGGACTTTGAATGCCAGGCTAAGGGGTTTGTTTATCCCAGCCAGGAGACGAGTAGGGAGCCAGTGAGGTTTCCAGAGCAGGAAAGTTACAAGGTTAGACTTGTAGGTGAGGAAGATTAATTTGGCACAAGTCTGATCATGTCTGTCCTTACTCTCTGCAGCAATTAAAGAGTGCACTGTGTTTAATTCAGTGGTAATGTGGCTAGAGATGCCTCTGGGCTGGGTATAAAAACCGAGACAAACCCATCTTTCCTCTTATCTTCTTGGGGAGAGCATGGGGCACATATTCTGCAGGGATAGCGGGATGAAGGTGAGATGGGGCTCGGAGAGGGGGCACTGGGGAGAGTGGTGACTTCATCAGACCCTAGAGGTTTGGACTTATCCAGCTTGGCTCCACTGGCTCTAACTGGGAGCGATGAGGGGAAGCTGCCGAGACAGAGGTCAGCTCAGTGGCAGGAATACAATAGTCTAACAAGTAGAGCTGTTCATATATGGACTGGGCTGCCTTCTTGGGAGGAAGTGAGTCCTTTGGCCCTGGGGGTCTTCACAGGAAGGCTGGATGAACTGGCGGCAGGATCCCCATGCACGTTGGATAATCCATCATTGTGATTTTGAGAAGAATTACAGAAGAAAGAAGAAGAATCAAAAGAGAAAGGATGGAGGAGATTGAGGGAGGAGGGGAGGAGAGGAGAAGGAAGCAAATGCGGAAGGAAAGGCACCCTGTTGCCTCAAGTATATAGTCCTGGGTTTGTCCCTTTCCCCATAGTAGTATGGTGGAGGGGATGACAAGAGCGAGTGTGGCTTTAGGCTTCATTAATAAAAGCAGCATCCAGAAAGAGGGAGATGATAGTCCCGTTATCTTTTGCTCTGGTCGAAACTCATCTGCAATAGTGTATTTAATTCTGGAAACCACATTTTAGGAAGGACATTGATAAATTAGAATGAATTCAGAGGAAAGTGACCAGGATAGTGAGAGAGCAGGCTATGGGAGGGTGGATGGAAGGAACTAGAAACTGTGCTTATTTAACATGGAGAAGGGGAGATTTAAGGGAGACAAGCTAGCTGCCTTTCACTTAATCAAACAGTTATCTGAGGAGCTCTTGTGCTGCTGCCCATCCCCCCCCCCCCCCCCCCCCCCCCCCCCCCCCCCCCCCTGCTGCATTTTACAGGTGAGGAAGTTTACAGGTTGGGGAAGAGCTCAGCAAAGGTCACACAGGTAGTAAGTAGAATAGGATTTGAACCTGTCTTATATCACCTGTCCTTTCAGGTGTTCTGGGTGGCTCCTAAGGGCAGAGCTAGAAGCAGTGTCCAGCTAGAGACAGAAAAGAGTTATTAGAGGATACATAAGGTCCAATGTAAGAAAAACCTTTCTAGCAATCAGAGCTGTCCCATTTTGGAATGATTGCCTCTGGAGGGAGTGAGCTCCCCATTACTAGAGGTGTCCAAGTAGAGGCTGCAGGATCTCTCTCCCCACCCCCAGGCCCGTCCCTCAGGGGTGCTGTAGTGGGAAATCCCACTCTAGGAGAGAGGCTGAACTGGATGCCCTCTGAGTCTGTGGTTCTGTGGTTTTTCAGTTAGAGACACACAAAGACCACAGTGATTTCTGGGTCACCCAGTGTCAGAGAGATTGGCAGGTACAAATGTACCAGGTATGCCGATAAGAGGGGGCTTTGCCTTCTCTTGAGTAGTGCAGCTATGAGCAGAGGGACATGGTGGTGGTGGGGGGGGGTGTGTGTGTGTATAGGGGGGGATGGTGTGGGGATGGTGTTCATTCTTGAATAAGTTAGAGAAGAACATTAAGGAGAGGAGTCAGAGGCAGTGATAAGAATCTTTAAATTAAAATTAGGAGTCCTAGGTTGGAATCTTGCTTTGCAGCTGAGAGTTGATTTATAAAACTGTTCATTGAATTGAATGAAATATTTACTAGTTGTACAACCTTAGACAAGTCGCTTCACCTTGAGCCTCAGTTTCCTCATCTGTAAAATGGGGATAAGACCACTTGCACTAAATGGGAGTGTTAGTATTATCTCTCTGGATTGGCCTTGGAAGGTTTCAGTAGATGGGATTAATTTGAATGCTGGGAAGAGGATTTACAGGATGGAAGTGGGGGACTAGGGGAGACCATTCCCAGGATTTTTTGGGGGTATATGTGTTGTGGGGTGGCGGTTCTTGAGGGAGGGGTGGAAAGAGCAGACTGTCTTAGGCAGGGGTCCCTGTCCTTCCAGGTACACTGTGCACAACTCAGTGAAGGGGATGAGCAGAGCCTTCAGGCCATAGAGAAGCACGTGAGTGGGGCTTGGGAGAGAAGGATGCTGGGGCCTGGGCCTCTCAGGAAACCCAGCCCTTTGTCTTCAGACTGGGCAACCTGGATAGTACAAAGTGGGTGGGGGTGTGTGTGAGGATATGTGTGGGGGAAGGCTGGAGAGGGTGGGGGTCAGTACCCCAAAATGCCGTGTTCAGGGGAAAGAGTCTTGGGTAAAAGGTCAGGAGTCAATGACTGTATATCTGACCTGCTGTATACCCTTGGGTAACTGCCTTCCTCAGTCTGGGTCACCAGCCTCCACAAGGTCACTTCACACTCTTAAGTTTCTTGCAAGATTGTTGGGGTCCTGGGGGAGGGGAGGGAGGGTGTTGTCCACATAGGGTTGAAGGGGTCTAGAAGGGAGGGATGGGAATGGCCAGTGCTTGGGGGCCCTGGGCCCCTGATGCTGTCTCTCATTCCCAGCCTCTCCCTCCAGACGCTAGTGGCCCTGAAGAGGCTTCGGACCCTGCAGCAGCGTCAGCCCCGACCCCAGACAGTGCCAGAGCCCTCTTCCCCGCCCACCTCGCTGGCCCGGCCAGATGGGGCCGTGCCTATTGGGACAGGTGGCTACAGCGACCTGGACAGTCGGATTCTGCAGTTGTGTGGTGAGGCAGTGGGGAGGGCTGGGATGGGATGAGGGAATGAGGGGTGAGGGAAGAGGGTCAGGTTTGCAAAATAGATCTTGGACCCCAGGCCCCAGAGCTTGGGGCAGGTGAATGGGATAAGATCCCATGGAATGGGGTGAGGCCGGTAGCATGGGGAGTGGGGGTGGTTTTCACCTCTACCTTTCCTAACCCTGGCTCCCTGCCCCTTACAGGGGAACTCTATGACCTGGATGCCTCTTCCCTTCAGCTCAAAGTACTCCATTATGTGAGTTGGACTGCTCTCCCCACTTCTACCCCTCCAAATCTCCACTATGGTCCCCTCCATCTCCATCCTCTTCTCCTGAGCTGGATACAAACAGCCAAAAACCTCCAGTCTGAGAGGGAATTCAGAGGCCCTGCCCTCAGGAGGCTCTGAGAGCCAGAAAACTCCTCTCCTTAGAAAGGGTAGAACCCCTGATCTGGGGCGGGGGGACAACAGGGACCCTGCATTTGGGGAGTCAACTCTTGGCCCAAGGAGGAGACACGTCATAGAAGTAGGTTAAACGGGGAGGTTCCCAAAAGGAGGAGAATCAGTAGGCCCTTTGATTAAGTAGGTGGGAAGGGATTTGTTTCCGGCCCTGGAGTTAATGTTGTACCCTCTTCCTTCATTAGTTGCAGCAGGAGACTGAGTCCTCAACCTGCTGCCTCCTCCTTGTTTCAGAGGATAACCTTCAGCTCTCCTGCCAGGTAGGTGCTTTGAGAGAGAGAGAGAGACTGAGATAGAGACAGAGACAGAGAGACACAGACAGAGAGACAGAGAGAGACCACAGAGAGAGAGTGAGAGAGAAAGAGAGACAGAGAGAGAGAAGCCAAAGACTATGATAGCATCGTGGAGGGTGGTCTGTCAGTGCTTACTGTTCCTTGTTTTCTAACACTAATCACCCCTCCCCCACGATCCTTGCCCTCTTCTCTGCCTCATAGGTCATCGGAGACAAAGTGCTTGGAGAAGAAGTCAGTTTTCCAGTGAGTCTCTGGCTCCCTATCCTTGTTCAATGATCTGCTGGGATATTTGGGGATCTCTTAGCGACCTACTGGGCTTTGTCAGGGCCATTTGGGGTATTTTAGAATCTCTTGGGAGATAGGTTGTTTTTTTTTTTATTAAGTCCACTTAGTATCTTACAGTCTCTGAATGTTTGTGCATCTCATCTGGGACCTCTTGGGGAGTCCTTTGGTGGGGGAGGGGCTACCAGGATGAGATGGGCTCTTTGATCATTTCTCCAGCCGGTCTCTTTCTTAAAGACGCATTAGAATCCATTAATCTATTTCCTGATCTATTGGTAAGTTCCAGGAACTCTTGGGGAGTGTCTTGGGGCCTGTCCCCCTTGTCTCTCACCTCCAGGGATGAATAGGGGAGTGTTGTCTGAGGTTCTCTCCAGGCAGGGAGAGGATCTGTGTCAGGAAGGGTCCTGGAGCTCCCTGCTTGGGGACAGCTGGGGAGTAGGCACAGAGGCATCTTCCCAGCCTTGCCCCACCTACGGCCAAGTCACCCTTGCCCTGTGTCACTAGGATCGCCTCCTCCCACATCCCCCTGCTGACTGTGTATGTGTCTCCCTTGCTTTGTCTTTCCTTCTGTTCCTCTTTCTATCATTCTCCCTTACAGATGACAGTGGGGTGCCTGGGCCAAGTGGTGAAGAACAAGGAATCCATCACACTGAAGGACCTTACATCAGTGAGTGACGGCTCCTGGGCATGCACTTGGGGGTAAGGGTGGGGTTGGGTGAAACTGCTTTTCCCTCAGGCAGGAGAGTCCCCCACCTTCCTGGTGCCCCCAGGAAGGAGAAAATAGAGGATCCCCAAAATTTTCCCCCATTTCCCTGCCCTTGCTGCTTCCCGGCTGCCTCTAGGAGAACAGAGCTAGCCTCGTTCTCATGTCTCCCAGGGGAAACTGAAGCCCTGAGAGAGGGGCAAGGACTTGTCTAAGGTCCCGCTGAGAGTCGGTGGTTGAGTTGAGAATAGAACTCAGATCTCCTGACTTGAAACCTGGAGAACTAGGAGTTGTTAGCTGTAGCCTTTGGAGGTTTCCAGGTTCTTCCCCCTCAGACGTGCTCTCCTCCACTCTGCAGGGAGAGGTGACACAGCTGCAGAGCCTCGTGGGATGTGAGCTGCAGTCCATGCTCTGTGTCCCTGTCATCAGCCGGGCTACAAATCAGGTGGTGGCCTTAGCCTGCGCTTTCAACAAGCAGGGAGGAGAGACGTGAGTTCTGGAGACCTGCGGAGGCTGAGAATGGGAGGGAAGCTAAAGGAGGGTGTGGGTGGGTATCCCCTAGTGACTGTCTCCTGTGGGATGTGACCACAGGAGATATTGCTAAACACCACACCTTCAGAGGTCAGGAAGGAGGAAGCAGGAGAGCAGGTGGGAAGTTGGTACTGGGTGGTTTGTTACACAGAAAGCTGTGGCCAATAAGGCCATGGGATGCTTGACCCAAATCTGGCAGTACTGAAAGGATGTGGCCCAGAACCAAACACTCTACTTCTTTGTTTTTTTTTTTTTTTTTTGAGGCAATGGTAGTTAAGTAACTTGCCCAGGGTCACACAGCTAGCTAGTGTCTGAGGCCGGATTTGAACTCAAGTCCTCCTGACTCCAGGGCTGGTGAGCTATCCACTACACCACCTAGCTGCCCCCTGAACACCCTACTTCTGAGGCAGCAGGTACGGGAGAGGAGACACAGTCCCAGGACTGGAAGTCAGGAGACTTGTCTTCTTAGTCATAGCTCTGCCATTAAGCTGCTGTGTGACCTTGGGCATGTCTTTTCCCTTCCTCTGAGCCTCAATCTTTTATGTTCCTTCTGGCTCTGAAAGTCTGATATTCGATGGGTACACTGTTCAGAGTCAGGATCCCAGGGATAGCTTCTGGGAGGGAGGCCTTGGGTAGATGACCATGGTGCATTTGAACAGGCTGATTCAGAGTCCAGAGCAGGGAAAGCAATGATAAGGATAGTGGGCAGGTAGCCTGATCCCCAGTAAAAATACCAACCCTGACTCTGAGATATCAGGAAATATCTGGTCAGGAAACAGATGCTCAGGTTGTTTGAAAGCTGGGAGGTGGTGAAGGCAATCCTAGAAGGGAGTAAGCCACAAGTATAGATAACTATAATGTGATAAATGCATTAAGAGGGAGGTCTGAGGGAAAAGCCATCACTGACAATGAAGATCAGGGAAGACTTCCTGGAGGAGGTGATATTGGGCTTGGAAGGACTGGTAGGATTCTGTCATCAAAGAGGAAAAGGGAGAACATTTTAGGCCTTGGGTACAAGGGTTCACAGGATATTGGCAAAGCCATCCCTTTTTGTGAGATGTAGAATGCATGAGTTAAGACTAGTAAGAGCTTTGAATGCCAAGTAAAGGGTAGTAAGAGTAAACCTTACTCAGTAGTCAATGGGAGGCCATTGAAAGGTTTTGAGCAGAGGAAGGATTCACTTAGACATGAGTGAAGGAAAATTAGCCTGGAAGTTTGTGCAGGGTGGATTGGAGGGAGAAGGAGTGAAGGTGGATGGAGGTCAGAAGGCCTGTGGAGAGATCATGGTTTAACAAGAGCTGAAATGTGGTGATGGGGGCCTGGACCACGGTCAGGTCGTGGCCTTGGGGAAACAGAGGAGGGGAAGAGGGTGAGAGGGGGGAGTCAGCAGGGCCTGGTAACTTACTGGATGTGAGAAAAGAGGGAGAGAGGAGTCCAGGAGTATACCCACGTTTACAAACAGTGAATAATAAGAGTTTAGATAGCATTTAGATAGTGCTTTAAGGTTTGCAAAATGCTTTACATGAGTTATCTCACTGATCCTCTCAACAACCAAATGAAGGAGGTGCTGTTATTATCTTCGTTTCACAGATGAGGAAACTGAGGCTGGTAGGGGATAAGTGACTCGCTCAGGGTCACACAGCTAAGTTTCTGGGGCAGGATTTGAACTCAAGTTTTCCAAACTACAGCACTCTGCATCATTTAGCTGGAGAGTGGAACCACCAATTAAAGGAGGCAGAGGTTTTAGGGGAAAGGTGATGAGACATTAGACTAGGAATTCTGGGAACCCAGCAAGCAAAGGAATCCAGCTTCAGGGAGACTGGAAAGCAAACGTCAGTGGCCAGATGATGCTGTCTGTGGTACTGAAACGTGGGGTCGATGGCCTTCGGGGGCAGGGGCAGACAAGCAGAGGGAGGGAGATGGAGAAGAGGGCAGGTTGGTCCAAAGCTTTGGCCCTGTCTATTCTGGGTAGCAACCACATCTCCGCCTTTCCCAGCCCTCCCCACCATGGAGTGGGAAAACCATTGTTTAGGGGCAGAGGACCTGGGTTTAAATCTTGGCTGTATTAGTTATGTTATGTTGGACTGATTGCTTAACCTTTCCGGGACTCTGTTTCCTTATTTGAAAAATGAGGGGGTTGGGCAATATGATTGTTGAGGTTTCTTTGAGCTCTGGAGGCTGGGATCTGTGATTTATCCAGCTCCCCACAGCTGGCTCTCCTAATGATATATCATCTGGCCATGGGATTGAATTACTGACTCTGGAGGATTTGGGACCAATCTAGTCAGGCGAGAAGCCGGCTCCCATTAGCCTGGGCGGGCGCCTTGCTGGACAGTCCCTAATCACCCTGCTTGCCTGGACACATTAGGATTGATGGCGAGCTTTGTGGCTTAGTGGAGGGTGAGCTGAGGGCAGGGAGGGGATGGACAGGAAGGATGGGCTTAGTGAGGAGGAACGGTCACCGGCAGGAAGTGACCTGCCTCCCCTGATTCCCTCCCTCCCTTTATCCAGTCTGGGAAAGAAACCTGAGCCAGAGGTGAGCCGTGATCCTGCTCTCAATCTAGGAGGCCCTAATTGGGGGTGAAGGGAAGGGAAGAAAGTCCTTTGCCCTCAGGCAGCCCCCAGTCTAAGGGAAAGGGGGATGGGGAAGGGATCCTGACTGATGGAGGAGGCAGGACACAGATTCTTTCAGACTGTGGACAGACACCTTGATAAATGACTAATAAACAAAGTGGGGCCCTTGGTGCCCAGTGGATGGAGAGTAAAGAATATACCCCACCTGGGCTAGGATTTCATCAAGGAAAGATTCCTAGAAGAGGTAAGTATAGCTCCTGGTTTAAAGGGAGGAAAGGGAGCAGTACTGGGGACTCAAGGGTGATATCTCAACACTGTGCCAGGCATATTGAAGATGCTTAATAAGTGTTTGCTGATTGATGTATCCTTGATATGCCACCGCCCCCAGCTGTCCCCGTCACAGCTTCATCCTCCCCTCCCTGGCAGGTACACAGACTGGGATGAGCACAAGATACTCCACTGTTTCTGCTACACAGCTACCGTCCTTACCAGCACCCTGGCCTTCCAGAAAGAACAGAAGCTCAAGTGTGAGTGCCAGGTGAGCCCCCGCCCAGGTGCCCGGCGTTCCTTTCCCAGCCTCACCTTCCCCTTCTTCACCTCTCTATTCTCAGCTTTCTTTTTTCACTCTTTTCTCTTATCCTTCCCAACTTTCTCCTCCTAGTTCTCATCTTCATGATTCCCTATGATTAAGTCTGACCAAAAGTGTTCTAGGCAGGTCAATTTCTTGATGCTATATAGATCAGAAGTTTAAGAGGATAATAGAACTGGGGCCTTAGAACAAAGAGTGGGTCAAAGCTAGAAGGCCCTTAGAACACAAAATGTCAGAGCTGGGAAGGACCTTAGAACATAGAATGTCAGAGTTGGGAGGGACCTTAGAACACAGAATGTCAGAGCTGGGAAGGGCCTTAGTGCATGCACACACACACACACACACACACACACCCCCACACACACAGACAAGAATCTTAGAACTAATAGAGACAGTGAAAATCCTGGAGTTCAACCCCTTCATTTTTACAAAGGAGGGAACAGAGAGCCAGAGAGGGGGATGGGTTCCCCTAAAGCTCCACAGTGAGTCACTGGCAGATCAGGGTTTCTGACTGTTACTCCAGGGACTCTTTGGCAGGACACTGCTGTCCAGTGATTTGTGCGCCTGGGAGAAGCAGCTTCCTCCTAATAGCAACATAACCCAGTGACTGTTCTGGCATTGCTCAGTGTAATCTTGGTGCTGGTGCTCCCTCTGGTGGTCACTATTAGGTGCTGCATAAAGATGTTGGTGAACGCACGCATGTACATAATACACACACACACACACACTCACACACATACACACCCACATACCACTCACATATATATATATATATATATATGGATTATATATGATGTGTGTATATATGGATATGTGTGTACATATACATACATATCCCATATCTATATGCATCCATACACACATATCTATCTATCTATCAATCTATCTAATCTTTCATTGACTTACAGAATGTTAGATCTGGAAGGGACCTTAGAGATCGTCCACTCCATCCTTCTCATTTTACAGGGAAGGACTCTGAAGCCAGAGGAGGGGAAGAGTCTTGGCTGAGGTCATATAGCAAGTTGATGGCTGGGTTGGGACCAGAATCTGGGATTCTTGATTCTCAGTCCAGGACTCTTTCCACTAAACATGTGATCCAGGAAGACCTGAGTTCAAATACGGCTTCAGGCACTTACTGGATGTATACTTAACCTCTGCCTGCTTCAGTTTCTTCATCTGTAAAATGGGTTTAATAATAGCCCCTAATTCTCAGTTGGTTGTGAGTATAAAATAAGATGATATTTATAAAGCTTTGCAAACCTTAAAGTACTATATAAATACTAGTTTTGTTTTCATTATCATCATCATCATCATCATCACCATCATCATCATCATAATCAAAAGCTAGGCTATATCTCCCAGACTAATGAACTGGAGGCCGACAGTGAAGGAGAAGGAAGCATTGTAACTGTTGAGGACTTTTTGGAGCCTGCTGATTTAGAAGCTGGGGGCTAGGCATGATACCCAGAGACTGAAATCTTTGTTTTTCCCCATTCCTATTCACCCCTTTCTAGGCTCTTCTCCAAGTGGCAAAGAACCTCTTCACACACTTGGGTGAGCCTCCCCTCTCCATCAGCTTTAGGTGTGGGCAGGGATGAGGCTGAGGCTGGGGGAGGCTTTGGGAAGGAGGGAAGCCAGGGCCCCATCCCTTAGCATAGAAGCCCAGCTTGGGTTTCCTTGGAGATCAGCATCACTTTGTAAATTTATATTCCCCAGATGATGTCTCTGTCCTGCTCCAAGAAATCATCACAGAAGCCCGGAACCTCAGCAATGCCGAGATGTGAGTAAAGCGGTCCAAGGGGAAGGGATGTGGGTCCTTCCTGGGGATGTGTTAGGACCACTGAGTACAAATCAGGGGCTCTTAGGCTTTTTTGTGTGCCATGGACGGTCTGGTGAAGCTTATGAATCCATTCTCAGAAATAAGTTTTTAAATGCATGAAATAAAATACACAAGATTGCAAAGGAAACCAGTTATATTAAAATACAGTTATTAAAACATTTTAAAAAGAGTTCATGGACCCTAGGTTGAGAATCCCTGGCAAGTCCAACTTCCTCCTTTTACAGAGGAGGAAACTGAGGCCTAGAGAAGTTCAGTGACTTACCCAAGGTCTTCCAGTAGAGAGGTTAGGATAACCGAGGGAAGGAAGTGGGAGGGCAGCAGCCTTGGACGGTAGCGACAAGATGTCTGCCTCTTTCCTTCCCTTATTTTCCTTCTCTTTCCCTCTTCTCTCTCCTCCAAGAATGATGAGCTCTCCCTCAATAGTATGCCTTGGTCAGTTTTCAAACACTCCCGGGAAAACCTGTTTTGTTTGACTGGCTTCAGGCACCTTGTGAAGAATGTGTAATTTCAGAGGGGTGTTGTCTGAGGGGGTAATGGACAAACTTGAGCTCCATTTGATAATCCCCTTTATTCCTTCTCCTTTTTGGGAGGAGAAAGTGCTGCTATCTAGTGGGAATGTGGGTGGAGAACCCCCCAACCTTCCAGCAATCGGCAGGATTCCTCCACTGCCGCTTCCTTTGTGAATAAATCCTAGGAAACAGACTTGTGGGTTGTAGTGTATGGAGTCAAGGGAAATATAGAGTGGATGCCAGGTTCATAACAGGATGCTTGAAACTGGAGTCCGCTCCCATCTTTCCCCTGACTCCATATGCTACAGCCCACAAATCTGTTTTCTAGGGTATCCTGTTACAGAGGTGAGTGTAGGAGAAGGCTAAATGTAATTGGAGTCAGGGATGTCCAGTCTCTGATCCTAGGGAGCCAGGTAGGGTGGGGGTCCAAGAAGGTCCAGATGACTTGGAGAATTTATCAGGGGTGGAGAGCCTGCAGCCTTGAGGCCACACTTGTTCTGTGAAGTTTGGATTCAGTCAAAGGGCTGCACTTGAGGACCTAGAGGGCCACGTGTGGCCTCGAGGCTGCAGGTGCCTCACCCCTGATTTGGACTGATCTCTGGCATTAAAGAATTTTAGAGAGTGTTGGGATATGAAAGCCCCCTGTGGCCAAAGACCCTTGGATCATCTCTAACATAGAGCTGGTGTAGGGTCAGGAATCAGATGGGGATCCACGAGGTCTGAGGTCTGAGGCCTGAGATGGGATCTTTGGCTCAGCCCTAGCCTGGAATTGAGGTCCATGCCCTTGGCAGGATAGTGCTCAGAGCCGCTGCCTTCTGGCCCTCGTAGATAGCTCAGCTGCCCAACTCTCCTTGCTGCGAGGTCATTAATTTGAGATCGATGAGCACCTCAGTGAGTCCTGCCCACACTCTCCGCCATTAGCTCTCACCCATGCCCTCACGGAGCCTCTGTTCCCAGGAGTGCCTGGGCAGGCACGAGGGTCAGGGACCTTCCTTACCCTTGGGCTTCCCCACAGCTGCTCCGTGTTCCTCTTGGATCAGAATGAGCTGGTGGCCAAGGTGTTTGATGGTGGTGTTGTGGATGATGAGGTAAGGGCTTGTGGGGGTGGGGGTTTGGGGGGAACACACAAGGATGGAGAATCAGATGGGGGCCCCACAGGGGTGCTGATAGATTCTGGAACCCACCCATGTTTCCTCTTGTCTTGCTTTGCCCAGACCTATGAGATACGAATCCCTGCAGACCAGGGGATTGCAGGTCACGTGGCCACCACGGGTCAGATCCTGAACATCCCGGATGCCTATGCACATCCCCTGTTCTACCGAGGTGTGGACGACAGCACAGGCTTCCGCACACGCAACATCCTGTGCTTCCCCATCAAGAACGAAAACCAAGGTGTGTGGGGGGTGTACATCCCTTTCCAGCCCCTGGGGACCACGGGCATTAGCTCAGCCCCATGGGATGGGACTGTGGGGAGGGGGAGGAGTCAGAGTCACAGGGATACTAGGACCTGGAGGAGCAGGAATGTTGAGAGTGAGGGGAACAAGGGAGGATGTCCCCCCAGCCCTATTTCTATCCATCCCTCCAGAGGTCATCGGTGTGGCTGAGCTGGTGAACAAGATCAATGGCCCTTGGTTCAGCAAGTTTGATGAGGACCTGGCCACAGCCTTTTCCATCTACTGCGGCATCAGCATCGCTCATGTGAGTTCTGAACCCTGCCCTGTGTCCCCTTCCCACTTCCGGTTCCTTTGAGTTCTTCTACTCTGGGTCCCCCCCTCCCCCAAGTCTCCCTCAGGCCTAGGGAGGGAAGAAACCCAGCCCTCTTCAGATCAAGTCAACAAGTCAATAAGCATTTATTAAGCACTTACTGTATTCCTTCCTTTGACTTGTAACTTTGGGGCCCAGGGTGGGATGAGACCCCTGGCATCATCTCCACTCCTGACTCTCTGAAGCAGGGCACATAACTTGTTATCTTTCTCATCTCCTAGACTCAAGGTTGTCCTCTAAACTAAGAGTGGTGAAACCTATGAAGTAGTCCCAACCATACTTTTGACTTTACTGTGTGATCTTGGATAAGTCACTTCTCTTTGGGTCTCATACTCCTTCTTGGTGAAATGAAGATAATTATCATTTCAGCAGTGGGTGATAAAGTTTCTCATGCCAATCTCCAAAGCCAGAGAAATATAATCCAGACCAGGGATTCTTTTTGTGATGGACCCTTTTGACAGGACACCTTCTCAGAATAATACTTGTGTATGCATAAAATAAAATACACAAGATTACCGAGGAAAACAATTATATTGAAAAAGTTATCAAATATTTTTAAAAATAAAGTTTACAAACCCCAGGTTAAGAAACCTTGGTCTAATCAGGAGTACAATTAGATGGATTTGGAACTGGTCATATGGCTGGACACAGAAGGTAGTTATGAATAGGTTTATACAAACTTTTAGCTAGGTCTTTAGTGGAGTGCCCCAAGGATCTTTGCTTGGCCCAGGCCTGTTTAACATTTTAAAAATGACTTGAGTAAAGACATAGAGAGCATGTCTATCAATTCAAAGCTGAGAGGGTGAGCGAACACTTTTGACAGAGTATGGGAGAGTCAGAATCCAAAGATCTAGGTTAGAATGTTGGGCCAAGTCCAGTAACCCTTAAATGTGTTAGGGATTGGTGATGTCCTCAGTGTGGCCATTTCCTCCACCAGTGCAGATCTCAATCCCTCTAGGCCTTAGTAGATATTTACTAATAAGATGGAATTTAATCAAGATAAATATAATGTTCTACATTTGAATTCAACAGTCAACTTCACAACTACAGGAGAGGGAGGAATGTAAATCAACATTTATTAATTGCCTTGTGTGTGAAAACTACTTTATTAGGTGATGAGGATTGAAAGACAAAAAAAAAAATCTCCCAAGAAGCCTATATTCTAAGACGTGTAAATGGATAAGGGAATAATCGGCATCTGAGGAGAGCAAAAGATCTAATGATTGGGGGGATGAGGGCAGGCTTCCTGCAGGAGGTGATACCCAAGTTGAACCTTGTTAGGGAAAGACGTGTGGCTAGAAAACCAATTTTTTTTTTTGTGAAAAAGATCTGGGGTTTCAACAATGTGACCTGGGGACCAGAAAAGTTAATGTGATCTTACTAGAGTGAGCACAGTCAGGGTCAGTGTGAGGGAGGCGGTGGCACTGTCCTCTGCTCAGGTCAGACCACATGTGGACTATTAGATGGAGACCACATTTTAAGAAGGATGTCAATGAACTGAATGGTTTCCTATGTAAGTGTCTGGGGATGAAGAGGGGATTGGAAACTATGTTACTTGAGGATTGGTTGAGGGAATTGTGGATGTTTAGCCTGGAGAAGAGAAGCCTTGGAGTGGTGGGACATGACATCTGTCTTTCATATTTTCTAAAGGTTGTCACGTGGAAGAAAGATTTGTTCCAGCAGGCAGAATTATAAGCTGGTGTGTGCTGGGGCCAGGTTGAAGGAGCTCCAGAGAGCCAATTATTAAATTTTCAGTGTGAGCATTTATAGCTCACATATGGACAAACACTATAAATAAAGGCTTGATTTGTTATATTATTGATTTTCTAGACTTAAGAGAGTGAGGGAGAAAATGTTAATAATTCAGATTAAGTTTAAAAATGTGTAGGTATATATTTTTTTTCCCTGGAGAGCCAGTTGTTAAATCTTTTACCAGCACACCCCTGATTAGCAGCCTTCTCATCTCAGTTCCATTGCAGGCCAGTTTGTCAATGTATTTCCTAAAACATAACACTTAACACTGAATATAGTACTCTAGAATCGACTAGATGTTGTCTGATGGGGCAAATGATGTCTGATAGTGGCATTATTAATTCCCTTAGTCAATCAGTCAATTGCCAACAAGGGTTTATTAAACAATTGCTACAGGTCAGGCACTGTGCTGAGCTCTGGGGATGCAAAAGAAAGGCAAACATAGGCCCTGCCCTCGAGGAGCTCACAGTCTAGTAGGGGAGACAAGGCACAAAGTACAAAGGTGATGGCAGATTTTCTCAGAGGGGAAGGCACTGGCAACTGGAGGGAGTAAGGAGGGTCTTTTGCAGGAAGTGGGATTTAAATGGAGTCTTGAAGGAAGGTAGGGACACTAAGGTGGGACTGAACATTCTAAACACGGGGGACAATGAGCCCAAAGGCACAAACAGGAGGAAGCTGGAGGCACCGCAAGGCACTGTCCTTGGGTCGTAGAATCCATGGAGAGGGATGAAAGTGTGAAGGCTAGAAAGGTCGGGAGGGGCCACGTTGTGAGGGGCTTTAAATCCCGAACAAAGGACCCAGTAGAGAGCCGCTGGAGTTTATTTAGTGGGGCTGTGTGTGTGGTGACGTGGGCTGACGCACGCTTCAGAAAAATCACGTCGATGGAGGGTGGATTGGAGCAGGGAGAGGTGAGGAAGGGTACAGCAATAATAGTCCCGGCTAGAGGCCGTGAGAGCCTGAGCTAGAATGGCGACCATCTGAGTTAGGAGAAAGATTTGAGAGAGAAGTTTGAGGAAAGGCAGAAATCATAAGACTTGGCAATGAACTGGGTATGTGGACATTGGATACCTCTCTCATTATTCTCTCTCTCAATTTCTCTTTCTCTATCTCCTCCCTCTATCCTTCCCTCCCTCTTTCTTCTTTCTCTCTCTCTCCCCCCTCAATCTCTCTCTTCCCCTCTCTTCCCTTCTCAATCTCTCTCTCTCTCTCTGTCTCTCTCTCTCCTTCCCTTCCTCCCTTCCTCCCTCCCTCCTCACTCCTCGCCTTTTTTGAGATTGGGTTTCCCTATCTCATCCGGGCTGGAAATGCATTGGCCAGTCATGGATTCTTTCCCTGCTGATTATCATGAAAACCTGAACCTGCTCTATTTCCAACCTGGACTGGTTTGACTCTTGGCCTTGTAGCCCTTTACTCCCAAGGGCCTTACCATTTGGGTGCCAGACTTGTTGTGGACACCCAGTTGGCTTTAGCCCTACTGTATGTAGCTCAGAGTTCATGAGCTCAAGAGATCTATCAGGTTTAGCCTGCCCGGTAGTAGAGATTATAAGCACACATCATCATTCTTAATCTCTTTTTCTGGAAAGTAAGTTTTTATTACTGTCTTCTGTTTTTTTCTGTCATCTAGATTTCCACATACATACATATATGTATATGTGTATACACATATCTGTCTATATATAGAGTGTATGTGTACCCTTCCGTCTCTCAGATTCTGGGGTCATCCCCTGCCTTGACTGTCTCCTGGGGCTGTGAGGAGACAAAATCAGGAAGCACCATCTGTGGGCTTTTGCATCCCTTCTCCAGTCTTGATTTCAGCCTCCTCTCCCTAAGGCTTCCCTCCCCCTGCCCTTGCCTTGGGTCATATTGCCACCAGGCCAGCCTCTTGGGTGAAAACCCTAAGAGAGCATCAGTGCATGGGGCCAGCTGTTGGCTGGAGTTCAGACACCTGTGTCCCCTGCCTCCCTCTCCAATAGCATGGTCCAAATCTCCCTCTCTCCCTCCTCCTTCTAAGTATGGGTGTGGATAAAATACACGGGAGTGGGGTGAGGGAGGATTAATTATGTGACTTAAGTGCCTGGACAAGGACAGGAGGAAGTAAACACAAGGATGTTCTGAGCAGAAGAACCTGGACTAGTGTTTTTTTTTCTTTACTCTTGAACATGCCAGATGGAGTGAGTATGATGATAATAGCACCTCCTGTTTACATAGTGTTTGTAAAGTACTTCCCTCTCAATAATACTGTGAGGCAGGTAGTAATAATAATATCTAGTATTTATGTAGCTCTTTGTAAGGTTTATGAAGTGCTTTGTATATGTTGGCTCATTTGATCCTCACAACAACCATATGTGTTAGATGCTATTATTAGCCCCATTTTACAGATGAGGAAACTGAGGCAGAGAGGGGTAAGTGACTTGCCCAAGGTCACACAGCTAGGAATTGTCGAAGTTGGGATGTGAACCTAGGTCTCCTGACTCCAAACCAGGCTCTCTTTCCATCATGCCTGTCATGGGGGAATGGATGGAGCTGGTGTTAGCTTTTCTTTAAATCTCCTTCACCATTCCTCCTTTTGTCTCCTCAGTCTCTTCTATACAAGAAAGTGAATGAAGCCCAGTATCGGAGCCACTTGGCCAATGAGATGATGATGTATCACATGAAGGTAAGGTCCTCCCTACCCATCATCTATTGCCGGGAGACTGAGAGCAGAAAGGGGAGGAGCTGGCCTCTCCCACCACTTACAGAGTCAAGGGCAATGTTGGGACTGGCGGAAGTTGAATGCAGGACATTGAGAGCAGCTTGTTATCTGAAGAGACCAGTGAGAGGACTGAGCAGGGAGGCCTTCAGTGTGCTGTATACACAATGGTGTTACGTAGATGAATGGGTAGAGTGGCTGAAGTTTCATGTTTGGGGAGGGCGAGGCTTATATGGATCAATGATTTATTTAGATTTCATTAGGTATCTATTATTAGATATTATCATAACGATCATTTATGCGTGCTTTCTAATGATCAGAGCTGTCCAGAAGAGCAAAGGCCTGCCTTGGGAGGTAATGAGCTCTTTAAGCAGAAGCTGGATGGTCACTTGTTGGGGGTGTCATGTGGGCATTCCTGTCTGGGTATGGGTTGACCTAAATGTCTTTGCAGGTTGCTTCTGGCCCTAGGATTCTGGGTAAAAGAGCTCAGTTAGAGCATCTTAAGGGGAAGAACATGGCTTGTACTTGTGGGTATGATAACTTAGTTGCAGTGTTTGGATTTATTGATTTATTTTTACATTACTGTTCCCTCCCAGTCTCCCTTTACCCTCTCCTTGACTTCAAAAACCCTTTCATTGCAATGAATAAGTAGAGTTAAGCAAAACAAATCACATTCTGACCCTTGTCTCACATCTGGCCTAGTTTAAGGGAGGGAAGGAGTTTTAAACATGATGGCACCTGTGAGTACAGTAGCTTGTCTAAATCTTTAAAAGAGAGCAAAGGATGGACAGTGAAGGATCTCAGCTCATGGTGCCCAGGGTACCAACTCTTCCTCTCTCAACCAATCTAGGGAACCTTTCCTTTGGCCCTGGGTCTTTCACCTTTTTTTTTTTTTTTTTAGTTTTTAGGCAATTGGGGTTAGGTGACTTGCCCAGGGTCACATAGCTAGTAAGTGGCAAGTGTTTGGTCTGAGACTGGATTTGAACTCAGGTCCTCCTGACTTCAGGGCCAGTGCTCTATCCACTGCACCACCTAGCTGCCCCACCTTTCACTTTCTTAATCAAATTACCTGATCTCTGAACACCAGTCCAAGACCCTAAGACCCCAGAACTTCCACGCCCTGAGCCTTTCTGTCCCCCTGGACTCAGAGACCTAGACAGCATAGTGGATAGGAGTGCTGGCTCAGGGTCAGGAAGATGTGAGCTCAAATCCTGTCTCAGACAATTACTGGTTGTGTGACCTTGGGCAAGTCACTTAACTTTGATAAGCCTCAGTTTCCTCATCTGTAACATGGGGGTTTGAACTGGATGTCCTCTAAGGTCCCTTCTGACTTTGAATTGCTGAGCCTGTGACCTGCTGTTCCTGATTCCTCACCCCCTGCCCTTCTCCTGCTCCTGCCATTGTAACTGGACACCCTAGTCTGGCATCTGCTCCCTCATTTCTTTCATTCCTCTGGCTATGAAACATTTTTGAGCACTTACTATGTGCAGAGCCCTGGGCACACAAATAGAAAAGTAGGATAGCCCCTGCCCTCAAGGAGTTCACCTTCTGGCGGGGAAGACAACAAACAGAAGATTTCAGCTACAAGTTGGATGGAAAGGTCCTTAGGTGCAGCAGCAGAGTAGGTGATAATGCCTCTTTTTAAAGTCATTTTCACCCATAAAATCATATGATTTTATGATGATAGACTTTCTTCATTGTTCTATGCAGGTACAATTCCTCAGACCCAGCTTCTCCCCTCTTGATCCTTTCCAAGCCAGGAAACACCGAATCCCTAGCACTCATCTCCAAGTAGAGTGGATGACCTCTTTAGCCCCATATCAGCCCTCGAATTTGAGATTGACCAACTTGGGTGGGCTGGATTAGTCTCTTTGTTGTATTCTACCATTTGGCTGACTCGATCAGTCAACAGACATTTAACACTTACTACATTAGAGGTACTTTGCTAGGTGCTAGGCATGCCAAGACAAAAATAAAACAGTTCCTGCCCCAAAGAGCTTATATTCTTTTGGGGAAGACAACATGTTGTCACAACATACATCCAAAATAAGTATAAGATAGTTTGTGGGGGTTTTTGGCAGGGGAGACACTAATAGCTGGGTAGACCAGGAAAGGCTTCATTTCATGTAGGAGGTGTCATAAGCTGGAGAAGGAAATGGCAAAACACTCCAGTATCTTTGCTAAGAGAACCCCAAAATGGGGTTAAATAGAGTCAGACACAACTGAACACCACCCCCACCCCCAACACCAACAGCAACAGGAGGTGTCATGAGAGCTGAGCTTTGAAGGAAATTAGGGATTCTAGGAGGAGTTTGGCCAATCAGGAAGTCTGGTTGGCAGGCTCAGGTTGCTACACCCCACTTCCATGTAACCACTGAGCAAACTTGTTATCTTCACTTTATGGGATCTGTAACCAGAAGGGACCTTAAAGGTTTACATGTCCAGCCTGAACTCTTTACAGGTGAGGAAACTAAAAGGCAATGATTGGGGTTGGCCAGAGAGATAACTTAAGAGACATATAGGCAGTAACATTTCTGAGGCCAAATGCAATACTCATTCTACTCTTCCATGCTGCAAAGGTTATTGTCCCCCTTTTATAGGTGGGGAAACTGAGGCACAGAGATGTAAAGAGCTTTTTCTTTTAAAAAAAATAATGATGTCTTTGGTTTTTATAACATCTACATTTGAAAAACTTTAATTAGCTTCACTTAACTAGTTCACTCAATTATATTTATGAATCTGGTAAGTGAATGTAATTAGATTAAAATTTTTAAATATAGGTGATTTAAGTGTTAGAACTGAGTTTCAAACCCAGGTCTCTTCCCAAACAATATCACTGTTTCCCTACATGTGGTTGGCCGTGGTGTATTTAGGGAAGGAGGAGGATATTTATATACTTTGGTGTGCCCACCCCAGTTGGGTGGTGGTATTGGATGAGGAAAGGGGTCCTCAGTGCCCTAAACTCTGTCTCTCCTAGGTCTCAGATGATGAATATGACAAACTCCTCGGAGGTGGGATCCAGCCGGTCTCAGCCATTGACTCCAACTTTGCCAGCTTCACCTACACCCCACGCTCTCTTCCTGAGGATGATACCTCCATGGTGAGCTCACCCCAGTTGAAGGGTGGTCCCAACCTGCCACAGGAGCGGGCGGGATTTGGTTTAGATATGAAGAACTTCCCAGAGAAATGGGCCACAGGAAGGCTGTCCGGGGACATGGAGAGTAGCCTTGCTTTAGACTCCAGAGAGGAAAAACTAGGACTAACCAATGGGAAAGTGATAAAAATAGGTAGGCACATTTCATCATCATGGAAGGAAGAGCTTCCTAACAATTAGTGCTATTCCACAGTGGGCTTGGCTGCCTTGGGAGATACTCTGTTGTTAGAAGGTCCAAGCAGAGTCTGGATAACCACTGGCTGGGGAGGTTGTAGAGGGATTCCTGCACTGGGGAGTGGGGAGGAGGATGTGGGACTAAATGTGGTCTCTGAGATGTCTTCTAGTTCTGTGGGGTCTGGGGAAAGTGTGGTGGGAAAGAGGCGGACGCTGCTAGCCTGCTGACCTGCCTTCTTACTCTCCAGGCCATCCTGAGTATGCTCCAGGACATGAACTTTATCAACAACTACAAGATTGACCGACAGACACTGGTCCGGTGTGTGCTCTGGCCCCCTGATCCTGGGTCTGGGGGGGAGATTTGGTCCATGCCCTTAGGTCTGGAGAGAGGAGAGACTTCCTATCTTTGGGAGCCCCTAGCATGGGGAAGTGTGTGGCCCCTGCCCTTGGGAGCCTCTAGTGTTGTGTGTGGGGTGTGTCCCCTGCCCTTGGGAGTCTCTGGTGTGTGTGTGGGGGGGTGTCTCCTGCCCTTGGGAGCCCCTAGTGTGTGGGAGGTATGTCCCCTGACCTTGGGAGCCCCTAATGTGTGTAGGGTGTGTCCCCTGTCCTTG